CTCGAACGGAAGGCTGATCGCATCATTGAGGAACTCATCGCCGCCGGGGAAGTGTTGGTAGAGAGCAATGACGAAGAGCCACAAAAGAAGTTGACGAAGAGAAAAAAGAAGAAAAAGAAGAAGGTGGGTTCACTTCCCGAACCAAAGCTGGTACCAGAGGCGTCGACCACTAAGGGAAAGACGGGGACAACGAAGGTCACTAAGGTCGTGGTAACACAGCCTCAAGGTACCGGAGAAGATCCCGTCAAAACCTAAGAAGGAGACTGCTGCTAAAGGGAAAAAACGGGTAGAAACCCCGGTAGGACCCCCCAAGCAGGTGCCGACGAAGGTCCAACAGGTGACGGAGTGGACGAAAGTGACGAAGAGAAAGAAAGAGAAGGCAAGGAGAGTAGTCCCCAGAGAGGTGAAAATCCTCCTGGAAGAGACTCAGAAGGCGAGGGCTAAGAGGTTCGGTGGGTTCATTCTCAAAGTACCCAGCAAGCCCGAAGCGGCGGATCCAGCGAAACCAAAAGTTGCCTTCGAGGCAACCGAGGAAGAACTGGTGAAGGCCCTTTGGGACGAACTGGCGAAAAAGAAATGCTCGCCGAAATTTAAGCGAATAAAGAAGGTAGGACAGGACAAATTGTATATAGAGCCGGAGAATGAAGAGACGAGGAAACTTCTCCAAAACACTTCGTTGGACTTACGTCCAGCGGGTGAGAGAAATCCTCGTATAAAAATACACGGGGTCGGGATCGAGTTCGACGATAACGGGGTAGCCGCGTTGATGGAGGAGCAGAATGAAGATTCTGTGAATCTGCCGGCGGGGTGGAACCGGGGCGTTTCCATCATTCCGCGGAGAGCGAGGGTAACGAGAAGGGGACGTAACGTCGAGTTCGAGGTTACTTCGGAGGTCGCTGGCGCGCTTGTGGGCACGGTAGTGTTCGTTGGGCTGTCGCGGTGTCGGGTGAGCCCCAGCATAGATGTACGTAGATGCCACAGGTGTCAACGTTACGGACATGTTGGATCGCTTTGCAAGGCGCCGTCGGTGGTTTGCGGGCGCTGCTCGGGCCCCCATCACGCTGTGCAGTGTGCCGCGCGTCCGGCAGAACAGAGGTGTGCCTGTTGCGCCTCCAGTGGCTGGGCGTGCGACCACGCCTCCGGTGACACCACGAAGTGTCGAACGTGGGAGGTAAATTTCCGGCGGGAAGCCCGGAAATTTAAATGGGCAGTGTAAAAGTAGGACAGGTGAACCTGGGACGGGGGAAACTGGCAACAGATGACCTGCTGTCCGAGGTTAGGGAGAGAGGTCTGGATGTTGTGTTAATCCAGGAGCCCCACATGACGAAGAGTGGAACGTTTGCTAGTCTCCACTAAGACTCATAACAGGCAACTTACCGGGAGAGAAACCAGCGGCTGCAGTGTTGGTTGTGAACCCTTTATTGGAGACGACACTCATCACACAGTTTAGCGGGACTCACACGGTAATAGTGGAAATCCGAAGCGGGAACCGGAGCCTCCATGTGGGCAGCACGTACTTCCAATTCTCTGAGAGAACTGAACTCCATGTCGAAAGGCTGGAGAAGGTGATCCGTGAGTTGGGCGGTGCGGACGGGATCATAGGGGGTGACGTCAACGCCAGGTCTACACTATGGAATGACACACATACGGACGAGAAAGGTGAAACGGTAGGCGACATGATAATGGCCGGGGACATGATCTGCTGTAATGTTGGTTCAACACCTACCTTCTATACTAGTATGGGATCCGCGATACTTGATCTGACGCTTGCGTCGGTAAAAGCCGCGGTGAAAGTATCTGGTTGGAGGGTGGTCGAAGACGCGATATCCAGTGATCGTCGGCTAATATTATTCGACTATGATTGGGATGAGGAAGAGACGACGACTAGTACGAGTAAAAGGTTCAATGTCCGGAGAGCCGACTGGGACATATTTCGTCAAAGGCTGGCAGAGAGACTGTTTGACGGGCAATCTAGCTGGCTGGAGGGAGATATCGATTCCAGAGCGGATTACCTAACCTCGGCAATTAGTGACGCGTGTAAGAAGTCGATGCCGTACGTGAGGGCGCGGGCGTTCGGGGCTCATTCGTGGTTCACGGAGTCTCGATACGCAGAGGCGGCTCATTAGGCGGATAAGACGGAAAATTCGCAGGTCACAGGCCGAGGGATGCGAGGAAAGAACAGCCGCATTAGAGGAAGTCTATAGAAGGGAAAGGAATAAGTATACCGGAGGAAGGAGGAAAGAACAGATGCGGACCTGGCAAAAGTTTACTACCGAGGAGGGTAACGAGAAACCATGGGGGTCAACCTACCGGTGGTGTAAGGAAGGCGCGAATACGGACTCTCGCGGCGTGCTCGCAACTCTCCGCAAGGAGGGCGGCGGGCGCACTGCAGGTCTTGTGGACACGCTGGAACTACTGCTTAAAACTCTAGTACCACCAGATACAGACGAAGGTGAAACCGAAGAACATGAAAGAATCCGTGAGGAGACTGGAATGCGACTCGGGGAAACTGGAGAAACGGACTGGTCGGGAACCAACGATAGCGACTACCCAGTAGAATTTTCTCAAGAGGAGGTAAGAAGAGCAATTTGGCGAATGGGAAGGGATAAGGCACCGGGAGAGCACGGCATAACTGCCAGAATCCTCCGAATGTCTTTCCCAGCGACCGGAGATAGTGACCGCTCTTTTCAACGAGTGTTGGAGAAAAGCAAAATTTCCGAGCGGGTGGAAAAGAGCCACTGTGGTGCCCCTATTGAAAAAAACGCGACAAGGATCCTTCTGACCCGAAATCATATAGACCGATAAGTCTACTTCCAGTGCCGTCAAAAGCGTTGGAGAACCTAATCTGTCTTAGATTAAAGGAAAAGATTGAACCAAGAATGAACGAGAATCAATTCAGATTTACGGGAAACAAAAGTACCACGGATGCAATATTGACGATGAGAGAATGGACCGAAAGCCGTATGGAAAAGTTCGTGCTCGGGGTTATTTTTGGATATCTCGGGTGCGTTCGATAACGCATGGTGGCCGGCGATATTGCATCACATGAAAAGGATTGAAGCGACGAGGAGATTGTGTGAGCTGACCCGTAGTTACCTAGGGGGTCGATACGGCAGTATCACAGTGCCGACGGGGGGGTGTGAGCGGAGGCTGTCCAAGGGTTGTTCTCAGGGCTCGCAGTTCGGTCCGGAACTCTGGAAGATTCTGATGGATTCATTACTGTCTCTTGATGAATCAGAAGGAGAACTATCCATTGGCTACGCGGATGACGCGTTACTGATGATAGCGGGTCGGACTCGTGCCGAGGTGATCCTGAAGACGGAGGACAAACTGGGCAGGGCAGGGTCCTGGGCGGGAGGAATGAAACTCTCCTTTTCAGCCGCAAAGACGAAAGTCATGTGTCTGAAGGGAAAGCTTACTCCGCCTTACACGGTTAGGATGGACGGGGAGAGGCTGGTGGAAGTCACAGAGATGGATTATCTCGGAGTGACTCTAGACGATAGGTGGAGTTTTAAGAGCCATGTGAAAAGAGTAGCGGGGAAGGCGGCTCCCATGTTTCAGAGGATCAGGCGGATTGTAGCCTCTACCTGGGGTCTTAGTGGTCGTACGACGCGCAGATTATACTTAGGTGTATTTGTGCCGAGGATGGCTTACGGGGCCGCAATGTGGGGTGAAACCGCTTCAGATCGGATGATGAAATGTCTCCTTTGGGGGGTCCAGCGTGGAGCACTCTTTGCGTTAACGGGGGCATATCGTACTACGAGTACGGAGGCCCTGCCTGTGCTAGCGGGTGTGTTGTCGTTGGATCTAGAAGTGAGAAAATGGGGTCACCTCGCTAGGAGTAAGAGGGAAGGCCTCGGGAAGGAGACCATGATGAGGGTAGAGGAGGAAAGAATTGCCGATTAGCAAGCACGGTGGGAGGCTAGTGAGAAGGGTAGACTCAAGTATAGCTATTTCCCACAAGTGAAAGATAGGTTGAAGTGTAGCTGGTTGGAAGTTGATCACGAACCGTCCCAGTTCCTAACGGGGCAAGGGGCATTTATGGGATACTTACACCGCTTCTCTAAATAAGAGACTGGCGAGTGTTCGGGATGCGGAGCACTGGACACGATGGAACACGTCGTATTCAGTTGTGAGGCACTCTAGGACACAAGAAAGGCGCTGAGAGACCTCGTGGAGTCGAGCGGTCTACCCTGGCCGTGTGAGCTGCGGTGCCTCGTGGGGACTCCCGGACTCTGGAAGGAGTTTCGGTTGTTCATGCGGGATGCCGTGGTCGCGCGCGGTCATGTGGTGGGTCGCGTTGATGAGTAGAGACTCGCGCTTGAAAAAGCTGCACTGAAAAAAATCGGTGTGGGTTTACAACAGAATAAATTTGTTAATCCTTAATTGGTTATTACTACTTTAAAACCTTAATACTAACTAAATTATGTGATTCATTCAACCAACGTTTTGTCAAGAGTATCAATTGATTTCTGTTAAATGGTTTCTTGTAGTGTGTACCAATTTTTATGTTATACTAAATATGTACTTTGCACCTACTACAAGTTAAGTAATCTAACCATATTTTTGGTTACCCCAATCATAAAAATTGAAATGCAACTACAATAATTTAGTAGACGATACTGGATAATAATTATAATAGCGTGATTGTTGCTCTTACAAAAAGGTAACTGTGTAATGAGGTGTATAGAATTCTAAATTGTAATGCCAACAAGCCAACAATTATCATTTTGGTAATGGGTACAAAATAAATAATACGCTATACACAAATAGAATACAGATAACAAAATATCAAGGGAAAACCCAGTGTCTCTAACGCTGTTGGTCGGCGGCGGGCCGACGTGGTTACCATTCGTGAAACAGAGTGTCGACTGAACGTGTTTTCGACAATTCGACGACGCATTACCCGCGCGACTGTTGAAAGCACATGGTTTCTTTTGTTTTTTATTTCAGTATTCAGTGTTTAATAATTTATTTGTCATATCTATTCAAAGTTCATTATGGCAGACAACGATGTAGTAGACTTCTTAAAAGCTTGGGACCTAGTGAAATACATCGACATATTCCGTGGTAAGTACGCATATAATATAATACCTACTACCTACTTTAGTACTTAGTACTTACTAACTCTTAAATATTAAATTTTTACATTAATCGTATAAACACAATAATAAATTGTATTTAAAGTACATCATTGCAATATTATAACACTATTTTTTTGTCTTTATATCGGTGTGTGGTACACGTGTTGTAGGTACCTACGAATACATTACATATACTACATAATATAGGTTGTCGAAAATTGCTACATTCTCGAGCCAATGTCTATTTTACAAAAAATATAACTATAGGCTAGGTCCTAGGTATAATTCTTGTGTGTACTACCTATACATTTTTGTTATTTAAATTTGTATTTACTATTGCCATTCATTAAAGAATATAGTTTATTATTATAATAGATTATAATCAATTCTATTACGATAAGAAATATTAAAAAATGTTTTTAAATAAAATAAAAATACAAATATTATAGTATTTATAAATTTATTTCATACTATATTCGCAGAAAATGAAATTGATATGAAAACTTTATTGCTATTAACTGAAGACATGATAAAAGAACTAGTCCCAGTAATTGGACACAGAGCACGATTAATTTCAAATTTACATGAATGGAAAGCTATAGTACAGGGAACAACTGATTTAGTATGGATATTTTTAGTTGCTTAAAATTAATTAAACTAAAGAATAATTTTTTTTTTGAACACAAAGTTTTTTTAAATTCTACTTATTCATAGTTTTTAAGAATTCAATTTTTATTTTAGCATGACCCACTTGATATTGAACCCCGAGACAATATTGGCAGTATCCTTCTCGAGTTGACACAAACTGATACCAGTAATTCCAAAGACTATCAGCATATTCCTTTTACATCTGTTGTGAGTAAAATATTCAGTGATTTGAGGGTTTTGGTTAGTGAGCACTATTTAAAAACTTGTTATAATTTTAGGATACAACCGCATCAACTCCATCATGTACTCTGCAAGTAGAAACAACTGAAGAGGTTTCAGATGATTTTGATGCGTTCTCTACAAATGTTTCACAAAAATCATATGAAAATACAGTTGAGTACCTATAATTTACTATGTGTAACAACATACAGGGGCATAATTGAAGCGGTCAATAGATAAAGGTGTTAACTGAAATTTTTTCAAAAATGCATTTTACTACATGAATAAAAGTATTATAATGTTATAAACATTATATCACAATTTGATGACGTTTTATTTAGTAGTTACCAATAACAGTTATGGTTACCTACATGTTATAAGAAGTTAGTTAACACCTTTATCCATTGACCCCTTCAATTAATAATTATTATAATAATATGGATGCATAAATATTATAATATGGTACACAGTAGTCTAATATCATGTTTATAAAGTTAAAGAAATTCTTTAGGTGTGTTTCAAAAGGCTTCGCTCCACATTTTTCCGCCACTGACAACTCATAAATAAATTATTAAAATGTAAATTCTTTAAGCCTTCTTTAATATGATGTTGTTTTGTATAAGAATGATTTCATTATTATGACTTTTTTGTGTCTGCACCTAATTGATAACTATAAATTTACCAGACTTTTTACTATCTAACCTAATTATTAATTTTTATATAGTTGTTATACCTATCAATAAAAATCTTCATAATTAAAATAATATCATGTTGGTATATTTCTTATAAAATCATATAAATACTAAATAGTAATAATTTTTTACCTATTTAAGAGCTGATAGATCTACTTCAAAGTGCTAATGAAGGCAAAGCATTATTAGCTACATATCAAAAAAAGGGATTATTGGACAGCATAGGCCGTAGACGCCTATGTAATTTGATTATTAATAAAGAGCTAAGAGATGATGTTAATAAACGAGTCCCATCATCTAGGCTACATGAACTAACCTATCAAATTACACTTGTATTCAGTCAAGAACGTTCAGCAGTCTATTTTATTCCGTATCTGTCGTATGGTCCCGGCTTAAAGAGGGCAGCCAAAGGAAAGTTGTTGGACTGTTTAAATAACAGAAGGAGGGACTATAGAAAATCAGGAATCATTAATACCTCACGCCGTAGTTCAACATCTTCTTCTGGTCCGTCTTCTCCAACGGAAGTATCTAGTGGGCTTAACCGATTTGTGACCATCAACCCTCAGGAAGATGTAGAAGAAAACCAGAAGTGGTTGAGAAACTCAAGTGATCCTTGGAAGTTAGTAGAAGAAAATTGGGATAAAACTGTTCATATCCGTTTGAACAAAATTGCTTCAAAAGATGGACAGTCTATAGTACAGTACATGACAGAGTATCCTGCTTTGAAAAAACCAACTGGTTATCTTCTTGTAAGTATGGTGTTCTGTATTATATTATAATATTATATTATTAGGCAACATTTAAACAACAATAAATTAATATAAAACCCATATGTGAATAACTAATTTAAAACAAAAAAATTCACATATTATGCTAATAGTGTTATATACATGTAATTAAAACTACTAGTTTCAGACTGGAGCTACTGGTAAAATTCAATAAATCATAAACAATAATATGGTATTTTTATGTTAGTTTTTAATTTGACTTATGTCATGGGTGAACGGAGGAAAAAAATTTTTTTTGAGGGTAGTAATATTAATATTTAATAGTATAACAACACTTTATACTATTAAATATTAATACCTACTGTATTACTATACCATTAATTTGGCGTTTGTGCAAATTTTTATTTTTTAAATTGTTTATTTGAATATCTTTTGTAATATAACAAGTATTAACTCACTATATTTAAATATTAATACTTATACATATTTTTATGTTTTTTTGTTGTTAAGTTTTTAAAGGACTTTGATATAGCATTTCCAAACTCATCTGATAAGCTATATCAACATTTGCCGCTTTACAAAAGGCGAATATTTGAGTTGGCAGTTGAAAAAATTAGGAAATCAAAAGAACTTGACACTAATGAACTATTGAACAGTTATTTACAGTTTGATGTTGTAGGTTAGTTATTGATAGATATATTAATATATAAGTATTTCATACTATATTAATTATATATACCTAGATTTATTATACCCATAAATACCTATGTATACAATGTTCATTTTACTTAAATCCAAAAGTAATCAATTCATTTATAATTACAGACAAAGAAGAAACATCAAATATTGCTGCTTTTCTATGTCTCCCGTTCATCATTGGTGTCAATAGTACAAGAGCTAAAAAATCAAAAGCACTGTGGCGACCTTCTAAACTCGAAGCCAGAGATGGTTTCATTACACATGTGAAAAGTGATGCTGAAATTCTTGAAACGGTCACTAGAAGAAGGGAAAAGTTGAGAACATTTGGACAGACATTGCAACCTTTTATTATAATTGTTGGTCCAACGATTAATGAAATATCCAGTTACTTGGTAGTAGTTGACAATACTTATTATCGCCTTAATACAATAATTGCAGCAGTTGATTGTTGCTTTAAAGTTATTTTAACACTAAACGCCGAATATCCCTCGGAATCTGCATTAATTTGGTGTTTTATTCAAAAGGGATTTTACAATATCACTACTCCATGGGATAAAAATTATACTATTGTGAATGCACTTTTTTCAGATATTAATTGTTTACCTTAAAGTTAAATATTAATTATAATCTATAATTTTCAATATGCCCACTTGTTTTTTATGTAAATTAAAACTGAATAGCATTAATACCATGTTTACACATTTCAATTTCCAACATTCATGCAATACATTTGATACATTTTATTGTGCAGAAGATGGGTGCTTGAGGTCTTTTAATCTAAAAAACTCTTTCCGAAAACATTTACAAAAACATATTTTAGATGAAGAACTACATCCTTCGACTTCCCAAACCGAGTTAAAAAACAATTTCCCTTCAGATAAAATTATAAATATTGATAACTACTCTAATGATTTTTCTCCCGAGAGTCCAGATACAGCAAATAAAACTAAAACTATTAACCCCGCTGAAATATTGAACAAGTCTATTGCTAATTTTATTGCATCTTTATATGCTAATCCAATTATACCTAGAAATGTTATACAAATAGTTGTTGATGGTGTGGAACAGATTTTTTCTGAGGGTATAGTTATTTTCATTACAAATTATGTTGAACAAGTATCAAACAAAAATAAAATTCCTGAAAATTATTGCTCTATGTTTAATGATGTTGGAAGTATTATTGAGAATGCTTTCGTTTGTTTTAAAACTGAACATAAGAGATTTCGTTACTTTGCTGAGTCAGAATCTTATGTAGAACCTAAAGAAATTATTATTGGCCAACGTTTAAACAGAATAATAAAAAAAGGTGTGTCTATTCTTGAACCTATTAGCTGTACTGAACAATTTATACCCTTGAGAAACGTTCTGAAACAATTTTTTTGTCTTGAAAATGTCCTTAGTGAAACCTTAGAATACTTGTCTAGCTTAATGATAAATGATAAAAGTGTTATAGGAAATTTTGTTCAGGGTACCTTTTGGCAAAGCAGAATGAAAAAATTTAATGGTAAAACCGTTTTACCGCTCTTCATGTACTTTGATGACTTTGAAAGTAATGTACTTGGGAGTCATTCGGGTGTTCATAAAGTGGGAGCAGTGTATGTATCTATCCCATGTATACCACCTCATCGTACATCAGTTTTAAGTAATATTTTCCTTGCTTTACTTTTTCATTCTAGTGATAGAGTGGAATTCGGAAATAATGTTATTTTTAATCCTTTAATTAATGAACTAAATTATTTGCAAGAAACTGGTATAGAAATAGATACTCCTGTATTTAAAGGTGTATTGTACTTTGATTTGGGATTAATTATCGGAGATAATTTAGGAATCCACTCAATTATTGGTTTTACTGAAAGTTTTTCCTCAAATTATTCATGTCGAATTTGTACTATAAAAAAAAATGATTTAAAATTTCAATGTTACGAAGATGAAAGTATGCTAAGATCTATTGATCAATATTATATGCACTTGGAAATGAACGATCTAAGTGCAACTGGCATAAAAGAAAAGTGTGTGTGGTTAGATGTTAAAAATTTTAATTTGTTTGACCAAGTAGGCGTTGATATAATGCATGATATTCTTGAAGGATGTGCGAAGTATATCATGGGTTTTATTATATCTTATTATGTCAAGGACCTAAAATTATTTTCGTTACAAGTTTTAAATGATAGATTATTTGCATTTGATTTTGGTCCTGAGAAAAATAAACCGTGTACAATAAATATGGATCACATTGATGTAGGAAATGTAAAACAATCTGCATCTGAAATGTTAATATTAGTTAGATATTTTGGATTAATAATTGGCGATCTTATCCCTATTGAAGAACCAGTTTGGATTCTATTTATTACCTTACGTAAAGTTTTAGATATTATGTTATCACCTGCACTTGAAGAAGGAAGTATTTATTTACTAAAAACTTTGATAGCAGAACTTAATGATCTTTATTTAAAATACAGTAACAATTGTCTTAAACCAAAATTCCATTTCTTGGTTCATTACCCATCGATGATTAAAAAGTTTGGTCCTGTTAGTCATATTTGGGCAATGCGATATGAGGCAAAACATAGAATTTTAAAAATTTGTGCTAGGTCGTCATTTAACAGAAGAAATCTTTGTTTAACGTTAGCCATTAAACATAAATTACAGCTCAATGCAACATTTTATAAGGGTCGATTGTGTGCTACTATTGATGTAGGTCCTCGGAAGATCATTAATTCAATTAAATGTAAAAAAATTATTAATGAACTCAATCTCGATTCCAAAGAAACACTATTTCCTGTTACTTGGGCTACTGTTAAAGGTACATGCTACAAAATCAATAGCATACTAACCCAAGATATAGATAATGATAATAATTTTAAATTTATTTCTGTCAAAAATATATATGTTTATGGTTCTGATAAAATCATTTTTGAATACATTCCTTTTATTAGTATTGGCTTTAACGAACATGTTTCTGCTTATGAAGTAAGATTTGATGAATTAGTAGTTGGTAATAATTTTATTTTCCAAAATTCTATAATTTCTCCTATACCAAATCATATAAATATTATTGCGGATGGAACTAAGTATATAACATTAAGGAGTTCTTTGTAATGTATTTTTCACATCTTGTATTGAAACGTTTTTAATATCAACAATATTAATAAATTATCTTAAATATAGTTTATGTTATTTGTTTTAAGTTTACTACCTATGTAATGTAAATAAATATAAAATAAAATAGATTTATTATATATGTTTTTAATATTTAATTCACTCTCAAATCTTGTATATTATTAGGTAAAAAAATTTTTTATTAATCTATTAGAACAGATTTTTTATGAATGAAGAATATTATTTGATATGTAAAATTAATGTAATTTTTGTTATTAAATTTTTTTTAGTTCACAATATATGAAACAATACAAATGTAAAACTATCCAACAATCATTGTTATTTATGCACCCTTTTCCAAATACAAAGTTGATTAATATTGACTGCTAAAAAAGTTGAAACAGTCAGTGAAAACTATATTTACTACTACAAAAATGTATTTGTATATTACAATATAATTTGTACGACAAACAATTAAATTTGGTTGTATAGTATGTCTAACATGACCATTTTGTTATCATTACATAATAATTTGCTGCTCGCATGGTTATATATTGTTCCCTCAACAATAATATAAAACGTACATTTGTTATGCCTACAGAAAATATTTTGTGTGTTCTGTAAGTGAAACAGGAATGTATGCGTTTCTGTTACATTATTTCTGCAAGCATTACCAGATAACGTTTTGTAGTAAACACAATTGCTCTTGTAAAAACAACTAATAGCATACAACCAATAATGACTTGTCATCTTAACCGAAATTACTGCTGTCCCTGAGCCAACAACTTTTCACTGTTGTGGTAACCATAATTTGGTTATCAGAATTAATTTTTTTTTTCAGTGTGAGGGCGTCTGGGACGCGTGGCGGTAGCGAATGGACGGTGACGGGGAATCGTGGAATAAACTCTTAGGGGTGATGTCTGCGAATCCCGACGGCTGTCACTCGCTCCCTCGGATCGAGTAAGCATCTGGGATGCGAGGTGCTGTGTTGAAAAACGTTGATGGTGAGAGGTCGGTGGAAAATTGCTCTTCGGGGTAACAACCGCTGAAACTCAGCCAGTGGCCTACGTGGGTAAAACCACTTAGGTGCGCCGGGGGCGCGTGGTAAACGATGCAGGGCCGTAACAAGCCTGTAGACGCCGGCGGGGCGTGGAGAATGGAGTACTCACTCCATTGTAAAAATATAAAATGAGGGGACGCGACCACCGCGCAACCTACGAGCGTGGCGTTGTTAGGGCCCACCACTAGCCCTCTTGTATCTGGAAAAAGTAAATAGTAGGGAGGCCAAGTGCTAGCTATTCCGGTAGCAATGATGCACCGCTGACCGAAACATCGCACTTTAGATGCCTGGTTGTAAAACTGGGAATAAGTACTACGGGAACGACGTCTGGAACCAAGCACCGGGTAAAACTGATGTGGACGTCTGGGATCGGATTCGTAGTGGCAGTCATTCACTTGACGATAGTGGTTATTGGCCGCATGCTGGTCAGGCGAAAGCTATCGGTGAGCATTCTCCCGGGAGCCTAGCCACTCTGCCGATAGGAGTATATCATCGTGCGGTTGCTTAAACCATATTAAGCAACGGGTTGGATAGTTCCGCGGCTTCACCAGTAGTCGGCAAAGAGAAATGATAACATCCCGAAGCTAAATTGGAAGCCAAGTGAAACACCCCTGCTGCCGGGGAGGCCACACGGTCCCTCCGCGCAGGAAGGGCGATCGGACAGTCAACTCGGGTCTCACGTGGCGATGCCGACCGGACCGTAAGAAAGGAAGGTGCCTTCATCAAGAGGGTGACGAGTTTCGCACCTCATATACCTTTCTATGAAGTGTAGGACTTAGTCCATTCTTGGAACTCCAGAGCCTGAGAGTGTACAGCTGCTACAACTCTCGCAACGACACCACCGAAAACTTTGCCGCCTTTCTAGACGACGTCCACCGGTCCGTCAACGAGTGCGACCGCCGGACCCACCTAGTCATCTAAGTTGACTTCAACGCCTGGTCGCAATAGTGGGGATCGGCGCGCAACGACCGGAGGAGGTTTAAATTCTTAAATTTTTACATTAAATAACTAATCGAAAAAAGAATTATGGACTAGGATCACAATTATGCATTACCAAGACACAATATACGTAAGTTCTCTTAAGTAATTACTTATTATTATATTATGTATTTACATTAACATGTAATTCTATTTTTAGTTGACAACGTTAAGATGATTTAGATCCTAATTTTATTCTTATTACTGTTACTGAAGTTACTAAATGTTTTATACGCACATAGCATTTAGTTAGTTGCACAACATATTAATATTTAATATGTCATGTTATATTTTATATTAGTGTTTATTATATTTTTTAGTTGAAGAAGTTGTACATGTTTTTGATGACAGCGATTTTATTCCAATTACTGAAGATCAAGGTACTGAATAATTTATATACACAATAAATGTATTTAATAATACATCATATTTAAATGTCAAATCAAATTATATACTAGTATTTATATTTTTTAGTTGAAGAAGTTGAAGAGGATTTGGATGACAGTAACTTTGATCCCGATTTAACCCTAATTACTGAACTTCAAGGTACTAAATAATTTATATATTCAACAATACAGTTGTTACTACATAATATTTACATGTATATGAATATTTAACATATTACAGGTAATCAACTTATTGAAACTGCAAGGAAAAAGAAGAAGTTTAGTCTGGCAGATAAGAAAACAGTATTAGAAGAAAAAAGGGAATTAAAGAATGTCAATGCTAAGACAAAACACCCAAACCGTTCTCTTACATGCCCAGTAGATTGTACAAATAAGTGTAGAGACAATCTATCCACTGACCATCAAAAGTTTTTATGGGAAACTTATTGGTCTCTAACAACGTATGCCCAGAGGAGACAATTTTTAGCAAAATGTTTAACAATTACATTTGTAAAACATCGAACAACAGTAGAGGGTTCTGTTGATAGCTACAAAGTCACAATCCAGTGGATATAAGCTTCCCGACTAAAAAAAAAAAAATTTAGTACAGGTATGTAAGACTACTCTTCTAAATTTCCTTGGCTATACAAATAATTCTGTTTTAACAGAACTAGTAAAAATATGAACAGTAATTTTTGTATGTCATCTGTTACTGAAAATAGAGGACGGCAAAATATTAAAAAATATATCCCCAAAGATATTGTAGCTGATCATATACGGCTGTACAAACCATGTATAAAGCGCTATAATTATGGTAAATGCACACAAACCGCCACACAACAAGGAGAAAGCACTACTACCGTCCACCGAAGACAGCCAAAAAGCACAATAACGAGCCTAAGAAAGTACGAAAAACCGCAGTGTTCACTCACTATACTGCATCCCGCAAGCTACCAGAAAGGTGCAGATATAGGGCTGACGACACTGACCCATTACCTCTCGATCTCCGACTTGCAGTGGAATACACTGACAAGCCTGGAGCATCCGTCTTCTTTTCAAAGTTAATTTATTTGCGAGCGGATTCCGCCGTGGAATTTGCGACCCGTTAATAGTACTTTTGAGTACAACCCTCTCCAAACTATTAGTGTGAATAGTGATACGGAATTTACCGTATTGAACAAGCTAACTCACACTATAGTTGGTGAGGGAGATACAATATTCGAGGTGCGCCGTGAGGTAGTGATACGGACATAATATACCGTATTGAACAAGCTATCCATACGACACATTATCGAACTTTGTCGGATCACGCACGTCGTCACGTCGCCGTAACCGAATCGTCGTCAGTTCGAAGTCACCGTCGCACTCAAGGTCAACAGCTGCAGCCACACAGTGAGACGAATCATCATCGCCGGACATACGAACACCCGCCACCGAAGCGACATCAGAAGCTGTCCGCACGAAACTTGCAAAAACAACGTGAGTTGGTCTATAAAATCCTGATATATATATTATATAACTGTGACTCGAAGAGTATATGTATAACAAAAAAGAATATATTGTAATTTTATATTAAATTAATTATCTACGACGTGAGAATAAAAAAGCACATATCAATCAACCACCGTGTTTTAATTTCTTACAATGTCATCGTTCGGGAGAAAAACGTTTGAAAACTGCCCCAAAAATTATCCCAAAACTAATAGGTTCTAAAAAATTAGGTGATAATTGCCCCCAGCGCTTATAAATATAAAAACGATGGCACGTGTTCGGTTATGTATCGAAAAAATTACATGTAGGCCATCCATGTAATAGAAGTGAGTTACCTCATATAAATTTAAACGCAGTAGATAAATTGAATATTGCCAAGAAGTTATCATTAGGTGTATCACGTAATATTATATTGGGACAATACGAATCAACAGAGAATCAGGAAATATGTAGCCGTATTAGTTTATTAAATTATAATGATGTGACGAATATTGCAAAGCAATTTAATCTTAACGAACCTTTTCCTAAACTATTTAATGACGATTCTAAAAATATTGCAAGTTTTGTCCTAAAGAACAACAATTCAATATTTTTTTATAAAGAAGAAGGAATCGAAGATGATCAGTTTCCAACATTAAAGAAGGACGACTTTGCTTTAGGATACATGAATAAAAACCAAGAGCGTAATTTGAAACGCTATGGTTATAAAACAATATGTTTTGATGGCACACACGGAACGAATCCAAATGATTTTATTTTACATACATTGTTAGTAACAGATGTAGACTGCGAAGGCTACCCAGTTACCTTTTTACTAACCAATAGAAATGACGAAGTGGTAATTAGTGTTCTGCTTGAAAAAATCAAAGATCGACTGGGTAGTGTGTCGCCAAAAACAATCATGTCAGATATGCAGACTTCGTATTTTAACAGTTGGATAAAAAAAATGGGTCCTGTGAA